TTGCTTGCAAACGTCAAGAATTTGAAAAATTCCTCTCAGCGGTTCTACCCAAGATGTATTAAACAAGGTGTGATTGACAACTCAGTGCGGCTCTCTTTTAAGGTACTATAATGTCAAAAAGTATAAACAAACGAATTAACCCTTAGTGATGCATGTATCTTGTCAGCATTGATACCCAAGGCTTTTATTTTGATTACAGTTTTGTTTTACTTACATTACCTGGAATATATGTGTTGTCAATAAAATAAAACCGATTGTTTATAAAATCGTTTTAGCAATTTTATTGTTGTTAATTGCCCAAGTTTATGCTTTTGTGCGTTTATTTTTATATTTAAATTTTTTATCCTAAATATTATTCGACACCTATAAAAGTATGATTTTACATTTGTTTCCAATTTTATATGAGTGCTTAACTCTAACAATTTTGAAATTAAATTTTTTTCATGCGAAATAGTTTGGGTATAAACGAGCTGAAATCACTTTCCTTGAAGTGGTTTTCACAAACGCGAGATGAATCACGTAGTATAACACCACATCGCTGCCGTCTTAACTCGCAACTAGGTGGTTTAAAACATCGCACTATTTTCGTGTCCTGACTTCTATTGCATACAGCGCACCGTTCAAAAGTTTTGCTCCGTTTCATCTTGGTTTCCTTACATTAAATATTTAAGCAAAGTCGAACGTATTTACTTATTACCAAACTTTAAATGTGCTTAGTTGCTCTCCTCGGCGGTTTATCTCTTAACAATGTCACGCTTGTTAAGAACATTTGTTGCTTGAAAGCTTTTGTGTAAATAAAATATTTTCAAATGGTTTAACAATTCATTTGAATTTGACATTATAGCCTGTTTCTTATGAGAGCAATGTCAAAATCAATCACACTTTGTTGAATACATTTTGGTTCTACCCAAGGTGTATTAAACAAGGTGTGATTGACAACTCAGTGCGGCTCTCTTTTAAGGTACTATAATGTCAAAAAGTATAAACAAACGAATTAACCCTCAGTGATGCATGTATCTTGTCAGCACTGATGCCCTAGGCTTTTATTTCGATTATAGTTTTGTTTTACTTACATTACTTACATCACATATATTTTGTCAATAAAATAAAACATATTGTTTATAAAATCGTTTTAGCAATTTTCTTGTTTTTAATTGCCCAAGTTTTATGCTTTGGTGCGTTTATTTTCCATAACGGTTGTTTGTAACAGCCAAAACGAATCGAGATAGATATAGACAAATGTATACATAAATGCTCAGAATGAATAGAGAAATCGATTAAGCCATGTCTGTCTATCCGTCCGTCCGTGTACACGATAACTCGAGCAAAAATTTAGATATCTCAACGAAATTTGGTATGTAGGTTTCCGTTAATCTAAGGTAGGTTGGTATTGAAAATGGGCGAAATCGGACTGTAACCACGCCCACTTCCCATATAACGGTGATTTCCAGAATTACGAAAACTGCGATATTTTAGTAACTACTGAAGATAATTCACTCAAAATTTATATTTAGAATAATTTTCTAACGAAAAATAAGAATATTAGAAATTTGTGGAAAATGGGCGTAGCCACGCCCACTTATGGTTACATGTGTATATCTTGGTAACCGCTGCACCAATTTCTTCCAAACTTGGCACAGTTGTTGGCCTTGATACAACATACTAAATGGCCGAAAATTTAAAAAATCGGACAATAACCACGCCCACTTTCCATATAACGGTAATTTCCAGAAATACGAAAACTGCGATATTTTAGTAACTACTGAAGATAATTCACTCAAAATTGATATTTACAACAATTTTTAGACGAAAAATCAGAATATTATAAATTTTTGGAAAATGGGCGTAGCCACGGCCACTTATGGTTACATGTGTATATCTTGGCAACCGCTGCACCGATTGCATCCAAACTTGGCACAGTTATTGGCCTTGGTACAGCATACCAAATGGGACCAACAGGGTAATTTAGAGAAATATGAAATCTTCGCTAAATCAGTAAATATTAAAGCTAATTTATTCAAAATTGACGATTGCAACAATTCTTTACCAAGAAATACGTTTATGGTAAAATTTTGGAAAATGGGCGAGGCACCGCCCACTTATGATCACATATGTGTATATCGGTAACCGTTCTACCAATTTGTACCAAACTCGGTATTTTTATTGTGCTTGCCACATAAAAGCAAACCGTTGAAAATTATTGAAATCGGACTAAAATTACGGCCGCTTTTCATATAACGGTAAATTTCAGAAATGCTTGAAACTGCAATATTTCGAAATTTAAAGACGCTAATTTACTCAAAATGGATACACCCCGGCTTACCATGTAGCGGTAGCTTTCGGAAAGTTGAAAATGATATATTTAATACTTAGACTTTCTTACTTGTTATATTTAAACTTTTTATCCTAACCATTATTCGACACTTATCAAAGTATGATTTTACATTTGTTTCCAATTTTATATGTGAGCTTAACTTAACAATTTTGAAATTAATTTTTTGAAAATGTGTTTTTTTTTCAAATTTGAATTAAAAAAAAAATACACACAAATTTTTCAAGCGACAAATTTTCTTAATAAACGTGAAATTGTTAAGAGATAAGCCGCCGAGAAGAGCAAGTAAGTACATTTAAGTTTGGTATTAAGTAAATACGTTCGACTTTGCTTAAATATTTAATGTAAGGAAACCAAGATGAAACGGAGCAAAACTTTTGAACGGTGCGCTGTATGCAATAAAAGTCAGGACACGAAAATAGTGCGATGTTTTAAACCACCTAGTTGCGAAGTTAGACGGCAGCGATGGGAAGAAAGCTGTGGTGTTGTACTACGTGATTCATCTCGCGTTTGTGAAAACCACTTCAAGGAAAGTGATGTCCAAATCAAACACTTTCCAACGAGCTCGTTTATTACCCATGCGCAGTCCCAATGCCATACGGAAAAACTGATACAAGTGAGGATTTAGTACGCGATCAGGATACATTCTTTGTTGATGCCCAAACTCAAACAGACGACTCTTTATAATGCACGTTGCGAACAGAAATACTTCGGCTTACCGAAATAATTAAACCATGCAAGCAAGTATGGAAGAGCTTAAATTAAAACCGCTCGAAGCAAGGTCTTTAATGGAAAACTATTTCGCATGAAAAAAATTTAATTTCAAAATTTGTTCGAGTTAAGCTCACATATAAAATTGGTAAAAAATGTAAAATCATACTTTTATAAGTGTCGAACAATGCTTAGGATAAAAAATTGAAATTTAAAAATAAACTCACAAAAGCATAAAACCAGGGCAATTAAAAACAAGAAAATTGCTAAAACGATTTTATAAACGATTTGTTTTATTTTATTGACAAAATATATGTGATGTAAGTAATGTAAGTAAAACAAAACTATAATCGAAATAAAAGCCTAGGGCATCAGTGTTGATAAGATACATGAATCACTAAGGGTTAATTTGTTTGTTTATACTTTTTGACATTATAGTACCTTAAAAGAGAGCCGCACTGAGTTGTCAATCACACCTTGTTTAATACACCTTGGTTCTACCCAAGGTACATTGAACAGGTAGTATCAGTAGAGCAGCTGATTTGATTTATTTTCAAATTATTTGGTCTCGAAAATGTCAAATATTTTTAATTTTTTCTCACGAAAATTATAAGTTGTTAAAATCCATTTGCTTGTGAAACCTTTTTCCATACAAAACACGCGATTGAATAGCAGCTTTTGGAACGTTCGCCCAACGACCGCTGATTACTGGGCCTTGCAAAGGATGGATCAATGCTTCGAGAAGCAAACAAATTTACTAGGAAAGAAAGTTGCATCAATTTTTATTTTTTCCAAATTTCAATTTTTTATTTTTTATAATTTTTGGTATTTCACATGGCACGCTTTGATTTAGAAGAAAAAATTCAGAACAGTTGTTGACACTTTCGATACCAGAAGCAACAACAAAATACACGCAAATGTTGTTTTTGCTCTACTGATACTACCTGTTTAATGTGCTTTGGTTCTACCCTCCTATTTTTTTATCATGAAATTTCCGATGGATGCGGGTTAAATGAGAACTCGCCGAAGTAAAATATCATGACAGCATTTGTTTTTGTTTTTTATTCCATACCAAACACTAAAAATCGCATTAAACATTTTAACATAAATTTTTTGAGCAAAAGTAAAAAAAGCTAAACAATTTTAAGAAATAGCTAAGAAGCTATACAGTATATTTCGGGATAAAACCAAATAAAAAAAGCTTAATCTAGCCGGAAAATATCTGATGGTGACCTGTATGAACTTTACGCCGTCATGGACGTAGCAAATTAAAATACACAAATTTTCCAGCTCTGGTAACAGAGGAAGAGAAATCAAAAACCAACGCAATTCTACATATGTAATGCTGTGCCTTGGATAACCGCTTACACGCAAAGCCCATTTAACAGATTCCTTATGCAACAACTCTCATCCAAGGCCGCCAAGTATGCATAACTGATCCTTAAGGCCTCCTCTGCGATGAAAAGGCCAGGGGTGGCTAAGTTCTTGGCTTAGGCGGCTACAGCGCCAATCAACAAAAAGAAGAGTATGGGTAATGGAAAGAAGAAATTTCACTGGCAATCGCAAAAAATAGTTTCAACCAGAATATCCAACGAACATCAACTCGTGCTCGTTAGAGCTCAGTACACCATGGACAAATAGCGGTCTCTCGACGAACACCAGCTTCTCAATGCCCTATAGATCTGTCATCATTTTCGTCTCTTTATTAGGTGCAGAATAGTGGACGATATCGAATAAAGATGGGAGAGTGTTGAGTGACAACTGTACGAGATCAATAAGGTTATTGACCTAGTCAAAATCAAAGAACTAAATTCCAGGGACCGTAATCATTATATGTAAGTAAATAATTTAAATTATTATTTTAATTTTTTCGCTCAACGGAAATAATTATTATTTGATTTTAAATTTTTCGATCACAAATACTGATTATTTTATGATTTTTATTTTTTCGCTCAAAGATAATTCTTTTTATTGAATTTTTTCCACTTAAAACTAATGATTATTTATAAAATTTAGGAGGCCATATAGTTTTGGAACTTATTCCTTTTATTAGGGTGTAGCTTAATAAAACCGAAATAAATGCTTCATGCAAATGACGTAACTTCGTAGATATGTATATATGTATGTATGTAGACAAACAGTTTATTTTTATCAATTTATAGGCGCATTCAGCTTAACAAATTCATCCACGTTCTCCTGTTTTCCCTCCCAATCTATGTTAGAATTCCATACACGAAGCTCATTAAAACGATACAGTCCATACTTAAAAATCTCTTCTATGTGTGAGGTTTTCAGGATAATCTCATACTCTTGTTCAAACGAAATTGGCACAATTTCCTTATTTCTCGTATTAGCCAGTATATAGCATTTCGGAAGATCGCTTTTCACCTGACAAAATGGCATTTCACAAAGTAAACCATAAAAACCGATAAATTCAAATTCATGCACGTCATCCAAAATTGTCTGCCAACTGGGAATGGAGTTTTCGTTTAAAGTTTTCAATGTTGCTGAGAAATGTTCATAGTAGCAATGAAGAAGTTTATAACGTTCCCGAGTCAGAGCATCGAAGTTCAAACAGGTATTGACGAATAAATTCAAATCATAGCCACAACTGCCAATGAAGCAATTTTTGAAGTTACACTGCCAAAATAAATAAATATTAAATATGTATTACGGCTCTATTCTGTATCAGTGACAAATTGTTGTCACAGTTTTTTTCCAGAAAATATATGAAAAAGTTTAAATTTGTCAGTAAAAATATTTTCCATTTACATACATATAGGTACATATGTGATAGGGCGAGACAATTTTTTTGACAATGTGCGTATAGCATAGGAGGATTCTACATGTAGTTCTAAGCAAATTTGCTTCTAAAACCACCTTATCACCCTTATAGCATGTTTTTATACAAAATTTAAGCACTTCTTTAAGACACTACAGCAAAATACTAAGAAACCCATCTTCGCAATTTGGAAAACTCCAAAATGGTTTTAGACCCATGGTTTCTTCGGCAAATTTGCTTAGAATTACACGAATAATCCTTCTGTGCTATACGCGCATGGTCGAAAAAATCTCCCACACATATTGATTCGCCCTAATATCCACTAGAAAAAGTTTCCGCACAGAGATTTTTTTTACAAAGTTCAAACTAGAGGTATTCATCTAACGTCACATATAAATTTATAATTTGATCGGCAGTTTATCATTTTATGTCAATATCCCTTTTATTTTAAATAAAACAATTTAAACTATTTAAATAAAAGTTTCAAACTTAGAATAATATTTTGATAAATTTGCCAAATTTTTGTCAGAATTACTGATGGCGTTTTTTTTTTAAGTTGTGGATTTTCATTCACATAAAAAAAATTCAAACACACTTTAAATGGAAGAAAATTCGTGACACCGTCAACAAAAAATTCCCAAAAATCAAGAGGATTTTGTGCAAACCAGCGTACCCAAAAATTTTATAGAAATTCTGACAAAAAGGTTGGAAGTTTTGCTGAAATTTTTTTTGCTCAAATTGAAAATATTGCAATTTTTTTTAATTTTATACAAAGTTTGGAATTATGTATATTCAAATGGTTTATTTTAAATTAACTATATTTTAATAAAAATTAAGAATTTTTTTTAATAAAAGTACTATGAATATTAAAAAAAATCTCTTTACGGAAACCTTTCCCAGTGGGTATGTATGTATTCATGAATGCATCCCCGCATACACATATTAAATTTACATACAAACAAAACATCTTCTACTCGTTCAGGATTTCCATATCTGTTTGTTTGGCATCGAAAATGCATATTTTTCATGTATGGTTCACCAAGTGCGATAACTTTCAACGTTTGCCCATTTCTATCCAACCAATAAGGGCGAATAAGGGCGAAGTCTTAGATATAATATTATCTATGGAAATCTTTGACAGAAAAAAATTGATTGGACGTACATAAATATATAAAAAATATATGCGGAGATATAACCTTTTTTAAATACACCAAAGAACAAGCATGAAATTGGGCCAATTTTCGCAAAACGGTTTTTGCATCAGAAGATGCCAGACTACTCCAGGCAATGTTTCCACTTGGTTGGTATTCCAAAAACATGAAATTATCTTTAAAGTAAAAGTTTCTGAAAGAAAATTAGAAATCCAAATACATGTGTATGTACATATGTATGTGTGTATACTATGTATACAAGGAATAAACTGCAGAACAAAGTTTTTCTACTCACTCTACGCCGAATTTCGTCACATGGCCATTCCAAATGACGTTGTGTTCTTTCAAAATTTCCTTAATTTGAGGTAAGACCACCAAATGCATCGTAAACTCATTGGAATTACTCGCGTCTGAAGTTGAATCTTTTACAACGGCCGTGAAGCAGTTAGTCCCTTGTTTAGTGGAGGGCTCATTCGCTTTTTCGAACTGGTATCTAACATCAATTCTTCGGCTATCGTCCTCTGAAGAGTACTTGACATCATATCTAAATTTTAAACAGTTGGTACCCTCCGTACTAAATTTGTCTTTCAAGCAGCGGCTAATAGCATCATTAAGACGATTTGGCATTTTCAAGGTTTTGAATGTTTAAATAAAATTTTAATGACAAACCTCCGACTGTATTTCTGCCACGAAAAAAGCAAATTAAAACCATTTGCCATTCGAGGTCGATGTAAATTTGTAGGTCTCTCCACACTTTGTGTGAAAACATCAAGGCACACACTACAAATTTTAATTTTATTTATGTTTTCTGCCCCAAATAGACTTACATACATAATAATCAAATATTAAGCAGTCTCACTTTGCTAAATTAAAACTAAACTTTTGATATAACGGACCAAGAATCTACATATATTTTTAGTACTTTCCAAACTAAGTTTTTTACTTTCTAAAAAGATAAATCCTACCGATTTTGAATTTGTATTATTAAAAGAAAGTTAAAGCATTTATTGGGTGGTATGTATAGTTTATTTCAATGAACTAGGAAAACTTATTATTGGATATAGGACAAGTAAAGAAATTCAGAACATTTTGCGACCCATAAAAACTAAATAAATTACCAGGACAATTGACTAAAAAAGTGGACTGTCCCGTACAATATAGGACCGATGGTCACCGCACTTATATATTATACATATACATATGTACATATATGAGTTTACCTTAATTCTTTTTATTCAGATCCGTTATTCTACTTTTCAGTAATACCAATGTTTTTTTTTTGGTAAGTAGCTTTTTCTACAACTTGACACTCCCACACTCAGTGATGTTTTTTGGAAGATGGGGAAAAAGGAGAAGAATTCATTCCGACTTCCTATAAAGGTAGCGAAATTCCACAAAAAGCTGTACACAGTAATATTTTTGGAGTATGGGACTACCACGGAGGCACTACCTTTCCTATAGAATAAGAATTATCGAAATCGGCTAACGTGGTCCAAAGTTATGCGGTAACATACATACATAAAAACAAATAATATTCCGGCGAATTGATAACCTTCTCCTTTTTTGAAGTCGGTTAAAAATGATTAACTTTAATTATTTCATTTAAACCAGCTTATTTACATCAAATATAACCTCAAAAATCAGATCCGGAAATACTCTAACTGCTTGTGGATCGTACAGATTCAGGTGTGACAGTATTTTTTTGTGTTAGAGAATATAATTAAGAAGCAAAAATTTTTTGCATTAAGAAAAAAAATCTACCAAATTTTTATTTTCATTTTTTTGAGTTCTGCCTCTTGAAGTTGCATTCGTAAACCGAGAGTAGATGCTCTACTTTGAGCTTTTTATACCCGAGCGCGCTCGTGAACAACTTTGTTCACGTAACGGTTGTTTGTAAGAGCCTAAAGGAATCGAGATATATGTAGGTCAATGTATACATAAATACTGAGAATGAATAGAAAAATCGATTAAGCCGTAAGTAAAGTAAAAATTTTGACGGACGGTATTGAAAATGGGCCAAATCGGACACTAACCATGCCTATCTCCCAAATATCGGTAGTTGGCGGAAATACTCGTCGGCGAACTCATTACCTTCGATTCCACAATGGTCTGGTACCCAGCACTGTGTTACCGTATTTTTGGTCGCCAAAATTTGTTGTGTGTCAAAGCAGTATGTATTTAACCAGCTGGTATTTCATCGTCCTGTTTGCAGGGGCCGGAATTGCTGCTTGGCTATCTGCAAAGATAACCTCTTTAAAGTTTAATTTTGCGCAGTTTAAAATTGCGACTATTTCAGTCTGAAACACCGAGGAAATTTGTTTATGGGAATTGCAAGTTTGGTGCTAGCTCCAAAAATATCTGCACCTGCTTTGTCCTCCATCCTAGAACCGTATGTGTACCAGTTGACGTATCTGCGGTCAAGGGCGCAGGGAGCGCATTTCGCGATCGTGGATTCTCACGTGGAACTTTATGTCCATCACTTTCTGGAATCAGAAATTTCTTATATTTCTAACCCTGGTGTATCTTTCCAAGAATGCCTGCATGCAGCTTTTTTGTGTGGAAGACATTGTTAGATAGTCGAAGTTTCACATCCCTCGTGGCTGCTTTTTCCTGGATAAAAACATGAAAAGGAGTCCATCCTAGAAACGACTTTAGAGCCCCAGCTAAGCACATTCTTATTGATTCAGACACGGATAAGCATTCCAATCTTTTCAGTTTGTCAAGGCGTAGTACAGCAGTTTTTTGCTGTGTCTTCTGCCACCACGCAATCGGCCGGAGGATCATACGATAGAGCCACTCTGTCACCCTTGAAATCAATCAGCATTTTCTGCCATAAAGTCTTCTTCAGGCCCACATGCCCAGTGCGATTTTAGCAACATTTCTCTCAAGAAGGGAGTTTCAGATAAGTCTCTTATCCAGTTATTGCACCTCATCGGAGTATGCAAGCACTGTCGCTCCAAGAGTGACCGGATCAAGGTTTGCTTCAAGAACAGCCTTCTGAGGATTTATGCTGGGCCCTCATTGGCACACCAATTTGAGACCACGCGAAGAATTTTCGAGTAACTATAATTGCCATCTCACAGCCTCGTAATCGCACTCATGTTGTCTGATAAAGAGATCGTCTACCACAAGTAGGGTTGCCAGACGGCCTGGACTCGCCTGGATTGTACAGATATTTTACTATGTGTCCAGAGTCCAGATATTTTAAAATTTGTCCAGATATTTCTATTTTTTCCTTTTTTAAGGATATTTAAAAAAAAATGTTGGTGCTAAAGGAAACAAATACCAAACTCTGTACTGAGTTCATTTTCGGTATTGAGTACTTCTTATGTACAAGTACTTGTTAGTAGTAGTAGTAGTAGTAATAGTCGTAGTAGTAGTAGTCAGTATCGATACTTTTAAGAATCGGGTACTGTCGATACTTTTCAGCATCGAGTACTGAGTACTTTTGGAATCGATACTGCCCAACACTACTCTGAACATCAGCTGCTTATATTAAATCGAATTTTGCAAGTAAGCAGGTAAGTTATAAAATTATGGAAATATTTGAACTATTTGTTAATAGTAAGTGTTTCATATGTAGTAAAAATGCCAGAAAGCAGCGATGAAGAGCAGCCATCAAAAAATAAGAGAAGAATGGTAACATTTTCAGACAGTTGGACAAATATTCCAGAATATTCTGACTGGCTTCAGAAGATTGATGAACAAACAGCACGGTGCACATATTGCGTAGTAAGCTTTTCAATAAAATATGAAGGTCTTAGTGCATTAAGAAAACACTTTCAATCAAAAAAGCACCAAACTATAAAATCGGCGAAACAAATCGCTGGCTCTCTAAGCAAATTTACTACAAAATCGCAAACGCCGGCAAGAAACTTAGCTGCACGAGCTGAAGTAGCATCGGTTTTTCATAATGTAATTCATGGTTTAAGTTACAATAGTCTTGACTGCCATTTGAAAGTTTCTCGCAATATATTTTGTGATAGTAAAATTGCTGGGGATATGTCATGTGGTCGTACAAAAGCTGCAGCTATAGCACGAAACGTATTAGCACCATACGCTCAACAACAAATTGTGATTGCTATGCAGAAGAATGTTTATTTTTCCATAGGCAATGATGCTTCAAGTATTGGAAATAAAAAGCTATATGCTTTGACTGTCCAGTATTTCGATTCGAACAGTGGAATATGTAAAAAACTTTTAGATTTTTACGAAGATTTTGATGGAAAATCGATTGCCATATTTGAAAATATAAAGCGAATAATTGAAAGCAATGGCCTGGAAATACAAAAAATATCATCTTTTAGTGCAGATAATGCGGCAGTCAACTACGGCATCAACAATTCCGTTTATCAGAAACTCAGTGGACTTAACAAACAAATATTGAAAGCAAATTGCAACTGCCACGTTATAAATAATTGTGTGAAATTTGCAATAAATGCTTTATCTGTTGATATTGAAAATATAGTGATCAAAATATTTAATGAATTTAGCAGTTCGGCGTTAGCTTCGGAAAAGTTAAAACAGTGCTTCGAATTCGCTAATTTGCAATACAAGGCTCTTCTTCGTCATGTACCAACTCGATGGCTTTCCCTGTTTCCTGCCATAGAACGCCTCATTTTAAACTGGCCAGCAGTCAAAAGGTACTTTCTTCTAAAGGGCAAAAAAGCTACACGAAAGGAATTATGGGCCTTTGTTTCTAAAAATTTGCCAGAGTCAGAAGTTATAAGTGAGAACGAGGAATGTTTTCAAGAGGGACTTTCAGAAGCATATTTATATTTTCTACACAATATGTTACCAGATTTTCAGACATCGGTGTTGGCGCTAGAAAGCGACAGTTCTACAATTGTTGATGTAGATCATATAATGCGAAAATTACTGAACACGTTGCAAAGCAAGCTGAAAGATAAATACTTTGGCAGCAAAACAAAGTCAATTTTGGCAAAACTCCCACAAAACGAAAGAAATATTTTCAAAGAAGAAGCTGAAAACTTTTTAAAAGCTGCGATTGATTACTTAACGACTCATTATGATTTCAGTGATAACTCAATAAAAAAATACTTATCTTTGTTAAGCTTAAAAGAAAACTTAATTTCTTGGGATGAAGTAGAAATGGTGATAGCTGCTTTAAACTTAAAAAATTAATTACATATTGACGTCTTATATACGGATTACTGTTCCCTAAGAAGTGTGTACGATGCAATACCAAAGAATGTACCAAATGACCAAATGTGGGCATCGTTTTTTCGTTCCGTAAAAGACGAAGAAATGAAGAATTTGAAAAAGTTCATAGCATTTATATATTCCATACCATTGAGTAATGCCTTTTGTGAGAAGGTTTTCAGTATTTTAAATGACTTATATTCCAAAGATCGTAACAAAATGGCTATTGATTTAATTAAAGCTGAATTAGTTATACGATTAAATATAGATGAAAATTGTAAAACGTTCATCGAATTTTTAAATCGAGAAGATAGTACAAAACTATTGGAAGCTGCTCAAAATAACACAAAATATTTATGGAACTGAAATTCTTAAGTTTGTGTTTTTGTAATACTTGTCCGAATTCTTTTCTACAGATACATAATTTATTGTTAAAAATGTATTTGAATATGTACATGTATGTATGTATGTATTTGTAGAAAACTATATATTTTTTTTATATAAATAGCAAATGTATACCATAATGAATTTTTATGTTTTTGTTTGATTTTGAATAAAAAAATTTTTATTTTTTTTACTACACAATTGTTTTATTTTGAGTTTTTAAATTGTACAGAAAAGTCCAGATATTTTTTTTTAAAGTTCAGATAATCCTCGATTGCAATCTGGCAACCCTAACCACAAGTGACCAAAGCAAGGGAGGAAGGGCTTTTCCGTGTGGGCAGGCTCTCGTGGCTCTAATATTCACTTGAGTATTGCCCAAGGAAAATGTATGTAATTACACGCTCACGAAGCATAGCGTCGATCCAACCAATAGTAGTAGGGCCTAAGACTAAAGGAGAGCGACCTCCTTGTCCTCGAATGTGATTTTGATCTTACTAGCCAGATACTCTAAGGCTACATCCATTGATTTCCCTTTGACGTTAGCAAATTGAGTGTTATATAAGGAAGTGGAAGCGCTAAGTTTCTCCCTAATATGGAGGTCTTACAGTGCAGAGCCGAATCTTAGCACCCACAAAGACAACATCTTAGTAGGAAATCGATCGACGCCCACCAGCATTGAGCAAACATAACGGTTCAGAGACCAGACACTAAGAAGTGACAAACACCTGTCCAGCGTGCAGGCAAGGTCCTCATAACATCCAACATCCTCAGGCATCTGCAACGTACCCGACACCGGAAGCTCTATTGACGTCACACGCTTTCTTGACCTGGGGTTCACCGTTTCCGAGGATGAAGAGTCAAGCACTTAGCTAGGCCTCTTGGGGGAGTTGAGCCTTACTGATGCAACAACAGCAACACAATGGACAAATGAAGTGAAAGGTCGTGGTTATGCAGACAAACTTTTGCTTGCCAAATTAAATGGCGGCTGCTTAGTTTGCTCGGAGGTGGTTATGTCGAGTTTAGCACAGGGTTGCGCGTTCATTATGGTTTTCATAGCTATTGCCAACACGAAATGAGAATTTCAGATGTACATAACGCGCACAATTAATATTTTTTTTTTATATTGCATAGGCAATTAACTGTGCCCTAATCTTTGAAGCTCCTACAGCATAAATTCAGTTTTCTGGCTTTCGGTATCACGGCAATTTTTGTGTATAGCAACAATTGTCTAAAATTTTTGTATATGACAACAACTGCGCTTAAATGTTACACTAAAAAAAATATTTCTCTGCGGTGGAAACTACTATGACCAGATATATAAACTTGAGGATCTTATTTTGTTAACATTTTTTTTTTTTAGCAAATGAAATCAAAAGTAAAATATAAATCTTATGTTTAACTACTGTCCTAGCAGTGGCCCATGACCCACAAACGTGTTTGTGAACATGATTTTGCACTAACAAAATATAAAGGAACATAGTAAGAAAGTGAAATCTTGTACGCCAATGGAAAACGGGGAGCAGAAACTAAGAAAACCAGAATCCAATTCGGCCGTCGCATTAAAAATCTGATGGCCAAAGAAGACTAGAACTCAAAATAAGAAACATGAAATAAATAAGAAAAGAAAATAAACATTAACATTAACACAAAAACACAAGAGGTAGAACCGGTTTACGAGTAATTGAAATCATGGTGGGGCATAAAGACAACTTGGGTACAGCATGGACAAAACAAAAACCTGCAAGAACTCAAAAGGAGATAAGAAAATAATACGTGGATAAAAAAAACTAAAGGTTGAGAAAAAGGCTCAAAAAATAAGAACAGCTAAAACTTAAAAACAAAGATACACACCTTCTTGCATACACTCTGGCATGCTTATGTACATGCACACATACAAAAAAAGAACTCAACCAAATCTCGTAGCTGTCGGCAAAAAAGAAATCGAAGTGGCAGAAACGAAAATCAAGAAGGCAACACAGCAAAATTAAATAAGTCGCATACATATATATTACTGCAGCAGGACGATAAGGAGTAAACAATAAAGTTCCAATTGAAAGTAAACTCGATCATTTTCTGTAAGTGTATAGGTGGAATAAACCCCCAAAAAGGGGTGCTCACTGTTAAACAACCCTCGCTTTCGCACTCCCATGTCCATGCACTCACAGCTGAGAGGGCAATACAAAAATTTTAAATGCTTACAGAACACCCTGTGCCACAGCGCTGTTAACGCTCCATTTACAGAGAACGTAAATTTATACTTAACGTTCTCTGACCGTATCTCGTCTCTTTTATTTCACACTTGTGCAATTGGGTGTGCAGCCAACGAATTTGTGTGTAAACATTCGAAAGCAGAGAAAACTACAACCACCACCACGGCCGTAAAGACGCCAGTATATTTCTTGTGCGTAGTTTTTATATTTATAATTTTGTGCTGCCTGCTTATGCTGGCAATTGTACAAACGATTTTACGACGGATGATGGCCAAGTAAAAATCCAAATTTGTTTCCCAACGTCAGTACGTCGAGAGCGTTCAGCGAGTACAAGTCATTCGTTTATAAACAGTCTGATAGTGGAGAGTCGCATTGCGTTTGCTGTGAATTTGTGCGTAGAATTTCGGACGTACGTACTGTAAAAATAACAATAACTGTATAAAAAGTGTAATTAAACACTCAAATTTGTGTTCTGTGATAAATTTTTCAACAAAATTTGGTTTAAAAGAACACAAAAGTGTTTGGAAAAGCTCCCTGCTATATAAGCAAATCATTGAAGCAACGAGTAAACTTTTGACATTTCGTGTTGTTGCTTTGGTGGAGAGTAGCGCACATACATAAGAGCGAATAAAAGAGACAAAGTGGAGCTGCTGTGTAAGTTGTACCAAGAGACCTGCAAGTGGGGGCGATGTATTAAAAAAGTACATATAGTAAAATTTAAATTTTTATAAGTGCTAGAAAGGTGGAAAACTTGTGCGTGTCAAGTAAACAATTTGCATAAAAAGAGCATTGTATCATAAATTTATATTGGAACTCCCAGTACCAGTTATCGCCAGTGGGCGCAGGTTAGGTGGAGCAGGCTGCTACGAAACTGTACCCCAAAGTGATTCGCACCACTCGAATGTACTAGTGCTAGTGTGGACGAATTATCGCATATAAAAAGCAAAAGTGGGGAAATTAATAAGTTTTGGCGCGAAAACTTTTGACAAGTGCCAAGTCTTTTGGCATTGGAGACCGAAGATCCAGCAACAAGTCAACGTGATTGAGGGAATTGATGAAAAACACTGGTCGCATAAAACAACGCAATTGGCAAAGTGTATAGCAGGAAAATTTTTATTTTATTTTGCTTCGCTTTGCATAATTGAACAAAAAATAATAAAGAAAAAACGCGTTAACTTCAAGGTTAAGTGTTGTTGCAAGCAATTTGTTGGCATAACACAATAAGTAATCACTTCACATAAAAAAAGCAAAGCAATTTAATTGCAAAAGCCGAAAGTATATACATAGTGTATGCTGAAACTATAGGTTATTAAAAGTGCAATTAACAGAATTTTATCAACGCCTTCATCCTACCTTGCATTTGTGTGTCAAGCAAATTTTGTAAAGTACATTAAGTGATGACTGCGGCGCGTGTCCTTAATCCAGTAATATTAACAGAATTTTGTAAACTGCGCGCCAGTCCAAGCACAATGGGACGTAATGTGACTTGCAATCGTCAGTTGAATCGCATCAAGCGTGATCTCTTTGGACCAGCAAACCCGGTGGAAACACAAAAGTAAGTACTGATTACAGATAGTAAATTGAAATGATTTATTGGAGTAATGAAAGTACCGGAATTTGACTTTCAGTTTAAGGACCAAGAAAGTGGTTGTTTTTGTTGTAACAGCATAACAACTCGCGAAGGATTTTGGGAAATATGTACTCCCGAAGTGACATGACATTTCTTGGCAAGAAATAATGCTGGTTCCTTCCGGCAAAGTTGAGCCGAGCGCGTTTGGAATGTCCACGAAGTCGTTATGTGACTTCAGCGCTAGAGCGACGTTGTGAGTCCATTGTATCCTTCGGAAGCTACTGGGGCTAGAACGCACTTGAAAAAAGCGCGCTTTCCAAATGAGGCCGCTTGCACAAATTTTTATCATTCTTTGGGCTTTGCACTCATAAAAATTGTTGCAATCCCTTCTGAAAACAAAATATTTCAATCGAGTATTTTACCACTCGGAGAAACCTCTACATTACTTTTGTCGTAGCGGCAGGAAATTTATTTTTTAAACTTTTAAAATAACAGTTCCCCATCGGCTATTATCGTATTTATGTAC